GCGTGCTTTCTTTGGCAAGTCTATAATGAAATCTGATCCAACTTGCTTGAATTGTAACTCGACACCAGATTATAGAGTAGAACGTCACGATATAAATATTAATTCAAGAGTTCTCTTTACGATTTCTTGTCGCAAATTTACAGTAAACTTCATCACCCAAAGTTGCAATTTTAAAACGCTACAAACACGCTCCTTTCCCACCCCTCTCACAGTTACAATTAAATTTACCTCCCAGAATCTGGGAAGCACGTGACCAGCAGCAGCCAGGGTCTCTCCCAGATGACAGACGGAGAGACCCTGGGAACGAGGTTGGGCAGACATCAGTCTGCCTGACAAGCGCTGAAGGCGCGAGAACCGCTAGGGGGAATTTCCCCCAGGAAATTTTGAAAAGTAGAGTCTCTAAAATGCCATTTCCTGCGTTGGAATGTGGATGGAATGGGCGAGGAATGGGCGAGAAATGAAGAGAAAATTAATGAAACAAGACCAAGTCTGATGACTATTTTAATATCATAAATGTAACTTTTACCGAAAACTTAACCTAATCTCCCCTAGAAGTATATCCCGTGTATTATATTAGATAACTGTCAAAAGAAATGTGAGGCACAATGACTTTGTTGGCCAAAAACGTCAATGATTCTGTCCATATCATTCTTGAGGGTTCTATTTGTATATGCTCATTCCATACAGAGAAGAGAAATGCTACTTAGGCGTTCTTGATCCATCATTGAACGAAGGTACGTCTTCACCCTTCGTAATCCACTGAAAGATCTTTCTGCAGAACATGACGTAGCTGGGATTGTTGCCAAGATGGAACTTGCTTTATAGAAGACTGGTAGGACTATATGGAGTCCATTTTCGTATAGGATCTTCACCAAGGTTGCTGCTTTCCTGATTTGATGTGAAACAGGGTTATCAGACAGAATGTTACGAAATATCTGCAACTCGGCTTCTAGGATTGCAATATCTAAACAATAGAACGAAGAGACCAAAGCGATACTTCCTTCTGATGGTTTCTGACTGAAAACCACATCTGCCAGAGCACACAAGATGTCTTGATCGTTGCTTTGAAAGTGGTTCTTTGAAACCATCTCTAAAATAACTTTGTCTAACGTTGGGTAGTAGGTTGTAATCTGGTTGACTCTCAGGAGTTGGTTGCTGATGCGGAGTTGTGGTGGATGACTCACCGATTAGGACCTGCAATCGATGCGATGGAGCTCTGTTCCTTGGGGCTGTAGCATCTTTGAATGAAAATCTGGTACCCTGAATTTCTTTCTTAATGCCGTTTGCCATAACTTGCGCTCTTAACTACAGCATCTGGAATCCTTCTTCATTTCGGCAACCTTCTAGAGTTTTGATGGTTGAGTCCGCGGTTTTCTTGGCTGTGGTAACATCCATATTCTTGCTCTGGAGGTACTTGGACAGACTGTCTGTATTTGACAAGACAACCCTTAGCAATAACAAACCAAACACAAAATTAAAATCACAAATTGAGTTTAGTAAAGCATTGCTGTCAGTATAGGTTGTGGGATCGCGATCATCACTACATGAGATGAGTGCTTGAACAATTCTCGTTATTTGTTCGACCACTGCTCTCACAGCCTCCCAACGGCACGACCATCTTGTAGCACTTAAGGATTTAAGGGTTAGATTTATGTGATCCTCTATCTCCAAGTCCTGAAAAATTTGATGACGCTTAGGGCACGACCATCTTGTAGCACTTAAGGATTTAAGGGTTAGATTTATGTGATCCTCTATCTCCAAGTCCTGAAAAATTTGAGGACGCTTAGGACTTGCTTCAAGAAACGTATTAGTTTCTGTAACGTTCCAAAGGCATTGCGAGCTGACTCGATAGATGTCATTGAATCTTGAAGTGCAAGGTTTAAGAGATTATCATAACAATGGACGTATACTACCAAAGGAGAGCAATTCTTTCATACGCGTCGCAAGTCCCTTACGAACACCGCTCATATTAGCAGCCCCATCGAAGCATTCTCCCACAATATTTTCCAGCTTTAGCTCTAGATTGAGAATTACTTTTTTCACAAGTTCAAAGAGAACCTCTCCTTCAGTTGATGCAGTTGTGGAAAATCCAACAAATGTCTCTACAGTTTCACCAGCACAGACATACCTCGGACATAGTGACACTTGTTCCGATTTGCTGATATCTGGCATCTCGTCAACAATTATACTAAATTGCTCACTGCTCCTGACGTCGCTCGTTATCTGTTCCCGAACCTTGTCCGATACAATTTCAATCAGCTCGTTCTGGATTCCTGGTGATGTCTACTGGGCATGTGCCTTAAGCTGGCTTTGAAGCATGTTTTTCAACCATGGCATATCTTTGCAGCAAAAGTGAAGAGTTTCGATAAAGTTGCCTCTATTGGTATCGGATACTTCCCAAATATGGTCCCTGCTTTCATTGTGTCCTCTCAATGGCGAGTTCTGTTGAACATTGTGCATGAGACATTCTATGATAACTCGCAGATAACGCCGGTTGCAGTCAACGTTCTCCTTGTGAGCTCTGCTAAGTTGCTCGAGCACTGATGTATTACGTGATTTATTGGCTTTAAACAATGCCCACTTTGTCATTGCTGTGATGTGCTTCTCTGAGTTCCTGTGTTTACGAAGCTTTTCTGATTTTTTCCAATTGCTATACACAAAGGAATTATCGTTACCAAATTTTCTGCAGGGAAAGCATACACACTGGTCATCATTTGCTTCGTAACTGAGCCAAGGATACTGTTTAAACCATAGAGGATTGAACTTATGAGAAAATGTTTCATTTCCAAACTTTTTCGCTGGGTAGTCATGTAAAATTGGTTGATTCAGGTCATTGAAATCAATATCAGACACTAAAGGCAAAGGCTCTGAAAGTTGCGTACTTCTTTCAGGTACACCAATTTCAGATGTAGTACCATCGGAGAATGCTGGCTTCGATACTTCGTCTTGGGATACCGTTTCCAGGTCCTGTGGTTTTGCCGCCCCAAGTTCAATGACCAGGTCTGTCGCAGTCTTGGAATAACTCAGTCCGGGTTGGCTTTTGTCACTTGCTCCTATGTCTGTGAACATACTGCTGTCAGCGCAGTATCTCAATCTGGATGTGCAAACCCATTGCACGATGGCCGGTTGCTATGCAGTTTGCTCCCGGAGTCAAATTGCCCGCGTATATTGGTTTCCGGTTTCCTAGCTGTAAATTATGGCGCGGTTCAAATACTGCGTCTTTGGCGCTCCTGTTTGCGTTTATTTTTCAACGTTTTAAAACGATACTTGCTCAATCTGTACTACATCGAACCGTCTATTAGCTTGTGTGCACTAATAACCTATACGGTTATTTGAAAACGGTAAAATGTTGGTGTTGTTGTGGCCATGTATTTTCGCCTTTTGAGCGATGAGAATCATGCCGAGAAGGACAAATTGTACTGTCTAGGGGTCCCACAGCATCGCACGTGCATGGCCTACAATCCCCCCTTGAAAACCCTCCTGAATTCGGAGCATTGCCGGAATTATTAGCAGAAATAGCTAAGAATTCGGCATTTTTCCTTGTTTTTTAAAAATATTTTTGTTGAAACTTGATTTCGGAGAAACTTTTCAAGGCAAAGTTGAAGAATAGCATTTATTTAACAAGTCTAAATGGATAGCAGTGCCGGAGAAAGGTGTGGGAAAAAGTCTCTTTGACGAACGCATTTGCATTTTATACGCGTTCATGATGCGCCATGTTGTTGCTTCACTTCCCGCTGTGTTGCCTTTTTAGTTCGATAGATTATTGCCATAAAAGTCAAACATGTGATCGAAATAAAGGACATCCAGGAGTGTGCAACACACAGAGACCACTACCCGATAGTTTTGGGGGAAAAGTTCTGTTCTTTAACTCATAGAAGCCAAGGAGATCTGTCATGCAAGTCACGCGAGGTTCATATTTGTTTACTTCACCTCATGCTGCGCGTCTTGAGTTAGCTGGTTTCTTGACTTCGATAAAAGCTTATTGTGTGCCTTACGCATGTTTTATTTACATTAATATAACTACAGAAGACTGAGTTATAGTTTACAAAAGAAATCAGTTGCACATGCCTTTATTTAAGCGGAGATGAGGGAGCCGTTTTCTCGCTATTAAAGACAACATGCCTTGGTAATCTGATATATAGTGGTAGATGTACTATGATCTACGGAAAACCATCATGAAAAACGTTTGGAATTGTAACTAAATGATAAAATTAAGTGTGCGTAAAGACATGAAATCTGTTTCAGGGAAAGCTGCGTATCTTAAGGAATTTAAATCACTAGTATACTGTATGTTACTATTATTTTATGCGGTTACGGATCTTGCGCAGTATAAATAATAAACTGTAGTAGGCTGTAGTATACTTCGCAGGTATGATTGCACTGTAGCTAAATCTGCTATATATATTGTCAAATGGAACTATGTGTTTATATATGAATATCTCAAAAATACATCGTACACAAATATAATATGAAAGCATTTTATAATAGAACATATTCAACAAACAAATATTCTTGCGAGAACTATAGTATAGCTAGGTTTTTTGACGCGACTAACCAAAACAGTCAGTATGTTTCTCTGTCCGGCTGTCGATATATTACTTTAAATCGATATATGTTATGTATTAGCAGCATCAGATAATTTCCCCAAAATTACCTGCATATACTGATGAAGAAACACGAGTCTAGGCGAAAAGAGGAACAGTTTGTACATTGGTTTGCGTTCCGTATTATGAAATATAAACTATACGGGAGCAAATATGATATATCGTCTGCGGCGCAGGCTAGAGGTATTCGACGGCAGTTAATAGTTCCGACCGGTTATTTGACAGCTAAATAAAATTATCACAATCGTTCCATTTAAATATGGAAGTTTATAAATCAGTTAAAATATACCAACAAATTTGTTTTAACTGCAAGAAATTTTAAGCCAAATACATGACCTTTCCGATTATAAGGTTAATAAACAACGCCATTTCGCATTCACACCAACACCGCTGGAAAAAACGAAGCCCGCGCTTCCGGGAGCAAAATGCATAGCAACCAACCACCGTGCTAGTCTAGCGTATTCAGCGTGAGCCTAGAGTATGCTTATCGTAAAAACCATACGTCCGAATACGCACAATTTTTATAAGCATGCTTAAAAAATGTTTCTTATATGCCACCATATGCGATCGTGCTTGAAACTTATACATGTACGAGCTATGCCTAACGAGTAACATAGTATATGTCAGCGTATACCAGCATATAAGTGATATTTTTCATATGCTAGTACGTCAAGTACGATATGCAATGGTGTGACAGGGCCTTAACTCAAGTCTCGTTGCGCCCCCATGCGCCCTGGAATTGGGAACGGGGTAAGTCTCATTGCGCCCTGGGCGTCACGTCAACTTCCGGGCACGATTGTCTAGCGCGGATTTATCGGGTTGCCTAGCAACGGTCACAAGTATAAAGTGCAAAGTTTGGGCTTTCAAACGATACATCATGCGAGAAAATTGATCAAAAGTTTGCGAAGATTTTCGATTTTAAAACTCTATTTTTTTACAAAACCTGTGACAACCGCAAAGTGTCACAAGATGGGACTTTGCAGCAAGTTTTAAGGATGAAAAAGAAGAGGTTTTTAAAGAGTTTTACATATAAAATATGTTGTAAAACATAGAGAGTGTGCATATGTTTCAAGTCAAGTTCTTGTCCAAATCAAGTCGTGCGATTTTCAGCCAGAAAAAAAGCAATTTCTTTCAATCTAACGGAAAAGTGAAGTGGGAAATCGCAAGAAACATGAACACTAAATCGACTGTTTTCGTGACCCTACTGTTGGTGTTCTTGCTCAAGTTGTTATTTTAGCCGAAGTACTTTCAGAAGACAGTAGGTTCAACTTGTCATGTGCATATATACATTTTTGGCAAGAAAAATTGCGAGTAAAACCGCATTAAAACTAAGTAGAATATTCTACAATGAATACTATATCTGTTTCTATAAACTTTGTCTTGAAACGAGCTCTCATTTCAGAGATAATGTGGTTTAAAATCAGTGTATTGAATTATGCCATTACTTGGCCGTTGCAAATTCTGAACCTTCATGACAGGGATTTGAAAAACTTCCAAAATACTCTTTATTGCTTCATATATCCCCATAAAATTTTTAAATCAATAAAGCACATCATAAAATTAATGCATGCTCATTTTCTAAAAAGTACTCATCGATTACCTGAAGGAAAAGTTCTAAAATAGGTCAGGACAGTGGTTTACAAAATGCCGTTCTTCTCTGAAATGGCTTCTTTTGCGGGAAGCCATTAAATTAATGTACTTTCCAAAATTGTAATTTAGTCGCTTTTTTGGTCTCATTGTTCACTTATTTATCATGGAATTACTTCGCTTGAGCTCTTTTAATAATATCTGCAAGATACTTTGCTATTTGGTGAAATAAAAGCTATATTTTTAGCAGTTTATCTTTTGAAAACTGCATGCGCAACAAAGTGTCACCAATGTGTTTACTCTCGTCTGACAAACAACCAAAGATGAAATACTTTATTTCACTCTTTTATGGCAATCTAAAATGCCTAAATGTTAGATTATTAATTTTATTTGAGCATACATATTATATTTTTATACAATTGGTCCTTGAAAAGGACTTATGTCAAACTAGAGTCAGATTTCAAAAGAAACCGCCTGTTCTGACATTTTACAGCAACCTACATTGGCGCGCACAACGTTTTAGCCACAAATCCGTTGTTTTCTCAACAGAAACAAAAGGAATTTCAGTTAAAATTCTTACCTGATGAATATTCAAAAGTGTTTATCTCTTTTTGACGACTTTCGGTGCTCTTAATAGCGAAATAAAAAGTCTTTCGTTTTGTCACTGCACGCCGTGTTTGAAAATGCCGGCTGTCAAAGTCTGAATTAAAAACACCTCAAATATTTTTAATTTTTCTCACCTTTTTCATCCTTTGTTTATATTTTAATTAGTAATTTTTGTACTTCGTGTTTTTCCAAACATATTTGAGGTATTTAAAAACTTCAAAGAGGTACAAACACTGTGTTTTTGGGTTACAGAGTTTTTGGACTTGAACAACAAGTTCTGAAGTTCAAGTTCTCCATTGTAAACTAGATGTCCTGAGTGTGCCTGAGCTATGCCCAAGCAAATTTTTATAGCGTTTGATTATTTTGTAATTTATACCCTACAAGATGAAAACTAATTTGAATATAAATGTGTACCAATCCAGGAATCAAAAAATATTTGGCCATTTATGTTGGGTTATGGAATTATTGCCCTTCAGATGTTGGGTGTCATGAAGAAACAAAATGTCAGGGACTTAAATTTGCACAAACCAAGAATTCTCACACAAAAATCTAATGATATATTTAAGTGTGGGAGCTCATTTAAAATAAAATCGATTAATCATTTATCATTTTAACCCACTGCCAAATTTCAAGGTTTTTTATAACATTGATCTTGAGATATAGGTATTTTTGTAAAAGCAGTTAACAGAAGTTGACAGTAACTAAAATTCGCCATATTCCTTACAACTTGGGGAGTGCCAATGTTGCAACAGTCTGCAACTTAATGAGTTAACCGACTAATATAGTTACCAGCCTACACTATTTAGGCAATTTGATAACAAGTCAATTTCCGTCAACACATTGCGAAGCGCGTAATCGAAAAGCCAAAAGCGCTTTGCCCGAGCTTTATACAGTTTAGTGTTTACATTTAAACTTTGGAAATTGTTTTTGTTTACATTAATGTTGGTGTATTGCGGCGTGCGTTTTTGAATTTTTGTAACTATACATGCTTTAATAAACAACACAATATGATGTATATAGCTTGATAAAATTATAATGAATTAATGATACCCCATCTGGCCATATTTAGGCATATGTTTCATAAATAAATAAATTACAGTTGTTATATAAGTCATAAACTTACCAAGACGATAGCAGTCTTTCATAACTACATGGTGAACAACGTTGTTACAATTAACAGCTGCAATATAGGATTTTCTTTAAAATGATATTAAAAGTCTCTTCATGATTCGTCATGAGTGATGTCTGTTTATCGCTGGTGCCAATCAGTTA